TCTCTCTCTCTCTCTCTCTCTCTCTCTCTCTCTCTCTCTCTCTCTCTCTCTCTCTCTCTCTCTCTCTCTCTCTCTCTCTCTCTCCCTTCTTCTTCGTTATTGTCTTCCTTGCAGGTGCGCGCGGCGGCTTCTTCACCCTACGGATCCGCTATGGCGGACTTCTACTCCTATGGCGCCTTCAGCTATGGCGCGCTGCTCTCCCTGCGGCACACAACGATCGCGCGTGGAATAGCGGGTACCAGCTCAGATACCAATGCAATCAGACTCGCTATCTTCACACTTCACATGCATGTAAACAGGTTGCGCAGCAAACTGGCGACAAGCGCCCACTCAGAACTCAGAGATATGGTTGCCAAGAACGCAGTTCAGATACAAGCTCACTTCGAACAGCTATGGCGCAACAGCGCCTGTACAACTCTCTGTTCGTCGCCAACCCAACTCTGCTGTTCACACACACACCGGATCACCCTGGATATCCCACACGCATCACACTGTACACACACGCACACACATACACGCTACAATCTCCTATCAGCTATGGCGGCTATGGCCGCTACTACTCCTATCGCAATGGCTAAGCTCTCCTTCTCGCCCTCTCTGTCTTCAGGCTCACTGCAGACCACCTCGCACAAGTGGCTGTGGCAGCGCTTCCGCATGGCTTACGCAGGAATGAATGAATGGTTGGGCGCTGCCTCTTGATTTATACGTCTGTAGCTCGTTGGTCTGCCCCTATCCCATGCCCGTGGTGCACACAGTCCCATACGGTACTTGCTTGACTGGACTAGGACTGACTGGGACTGGGTACCACTGACTCAGCATGGGTAGACTCCACCACTTGCCCACTTGCCTTGGTCTACTGTGGGCAGTCCGTCGAAAGGCCACTTCCGGACCTTCCGGAAGACCGTGGACTTGGCCTTTCGGCACTGTAGCAGCTACGACCTTGACCCTTCAGGACTGTAGCAGCTACGACCTTGACCCTTCGGAGGAGCTACAGCTACGACTTCTAGAACTTGCTAAGACTCCTATCCGACAGGTCCACAGATCGAACCCCTATACCCTACAGACCTACGACAACCTACCACTGTGGGGAAAGACACAGGTCGTGGGTTCAACTCTCGGGGTGGACACAGATACTGTAGACAGTTAAGGTGATGGTCTAGGGATCGAGCCCTGGGACTTGCATCCGCTACTGCGAACAGGTGAATACCGTTTCACATACACCCAGGCTAAATGGGGAAGGACATGCCCGAACAGACCAGGATAGCGCCAATGACTTAGATGTATGGAATAAATGAACGAGGGGGATTCACAGTAGGGAATGTCATGGCACAATCTGAGCACAGGTAACCTGTCGCATATCTGGGAGTTCGAATTTGAACCATGTGTAATGAACCCAGACTGGAAGATACTCGTCAGACGTCGAAGTACAAGTTCACTCAGATCTGAACAATATCTCCAATAGTTATGAAAGTGATCTCTGACGCAAGGTCTCGTTACGAATAGAGGAAGAGAGTGAAGGGGGAATAGACAATAGGAGGGTGGAAGAGATAATCAATGACCACCAAGAGAGTAGCCCAAACATTACCCACTCCTTCTCCGGGCTTCCCCTCGCCTCCACGTCATCAATCAGTATCCAGTAACAAGTCTGACAAGTCCTGATCACATAGAAGTGCCACGTGGCACTGTCCTCTCGTGGAGACAATGAAGAGAAACAGCAGTGCACAATATCGACGTCAACCTCAGGTGAGTACCAGTTCCCCAATCATCCACAGATCCCGATCTCCCTCCTTGTCGCGGCCAATCACCTCATGTAGACAGCATGGCCAGTGCCACGTCAGCAATGTAGACAGGTGGCATGCGCCACGTCAGCAAAAGACAGGTGGAATGCGCCACATCAGCAATGAAGACAGGTGGCATGTGCCACATCAGCAGAGGCTGGCGCTCAGCAGAGAAGGCGCCAGCATGCTGCCACAGTCCCGCGTCGTCGTCCACAGTGCCAGCGCACAACCAGCGTCAAGCCAGCGTCCGACCAGCTTCAAGCCAGCGTCAAGGCAGCATAGCAAGACTGAATGTTGACCTCCTGGAGACCAAGCCTTATGTAGTGTTTGACGAGGCAGTCTGGCCTCAGGTCTCCCACCCACGGTCGTACAGATCGACTCACAGCCGAGGGCCTGGATTGTATTTTACAGTTGCAGACTTCCCTTTGGTCCAGATGATGTCTGGGTACCTGCATACAAACAAGTGTGTGCGTCTGACCGGCGGCCTGGGCTGGGTCCACTTTGACTTTGACTGTTGGGCATCAGGCAGTTGACTTCAGTCAACTGTCGCCCGCTCAGGCCCTGAATCTACATAGGGGCCATTTTCCCCTTCGGCCTGGGTCTGAGTATGGCCTGGCGAGGCCCTTAGACATTCCACGAGGCATACTGCATGGGTTATTGCACATGCCCTAGAGGTCTTAAACCGGCACACTACCTGGGAGGCCCTCCTCTTTTTTTTCCCCTATAGGCTCGGATTTCCCCCTCCTGGACTGCCCGAAGCTTGTCACATACTGGGGAGCATCAAGCTGGAGGTTGTGGTGAGTGAAGACAGTATAAAGTGATGTGAATTGTTTGTCTCTGTGAATATAACAGGGGTTGAAGAGCAGACATCTTTTGTCTGAATTCCATGCATTGTAGAAGGAACCAATCATGGACAAATATCCCAGTTCTTAAAGGTGATCTCTAATTAGGTCTGAGTACCAGCATTTACCCATATGTTGCATGGAGTGCCTTTCCAGCATTGGATGCTGCTTTGTTTTGGTTTCACCCACCAATAAGAGTCCGCTTGAACTGTCTGAAACGGTATTCACCTGTTAGCAGTAGCAAATGCAGATCCCAGGGCTCGATCAGTAGTTCTTACCTTACTTGTGTACAGTACCTGTGTTGACCCCGAGAGTTGAACCCGTGACCTGTGTATTCGCAACAGTTGGTAGGCTGTCGTAAGTCCGTAGGTTGTAGGGGTTCGATCTGTAGACCTGCCGGATAGAGGTCTTAGTGAGTTCTAGAAGTCGTTCGTGGCTGCTACA